CTGATGGTTTGACGTGAACATGTTCACTTATTTAAAAAATAATAATAATAATAACAATAACACTAAACTGATGCTAACAAATCACAATAATGATGAATCAAGGTTTCAAACATAGAAGCATACATAGAACCTATGAGGAAGGGTTACCTGTCAAAGAAGGAACTGCCGGATGGCATTCTCATCCTTCCTGTGCTTTTCAATTTCACACTGTCCGCTGCCCCTTTATCAGGATGCGAATTCTGGGAAACTACGGTGGCATTTGCATTATTTTTTCTTGCTTTTATGACATTACTTTCGCTTTGAACGTTTTTAGCAGAAATTGCATCTGCATGAATGATCTTGTATGATTGGGCATTGCTAGTGCCAGCCTCAATGAATTCAGGCCTTCCACTGCTACTTCCATTTCCTAAAGGCCTATCAATATTAACTTGCAAGATCTTTTGCTTTTCAACCTGTAACACGCGAGTTTGTGAGAAATTTGTACAAGACTGAAAGACCCCTCAACATATGTTACCAGATTTTAAAAGGAAAAATGTGAACCAAAAAATGTTCAGCATTATACTTATTGTGGCTAAAGCAAAGGGTAACAATCAAAGTTTGCCAAGATCTGCAAGAAATCCCAGGGATAGAAGGGACTTGAGTAACATTTCTAAGAACTCGATAGTTGTCACATTTCCTTTATATTCTTTTGCTGTTTATGTTTCATCTTCTTTTAAATTTGATTCCCGGCGCAAAATGACCTACAGCCGATGGTAATAAAGCAATGATATTAAAACGGGAAGCTTGCCATAGACAAGCAGAATAATTTTCCACAACATTTATTTCGTTTTGACTTAGAAAAATTTTATTCGAAGGAATGAATAGGAGGAGGAAAGAATATCTTCCTCAAGCAAAGCAACAAAAAGAAAATAAAACTATAATACCAGAAGAAGGGCATGAACTCACACCTCATGCACAAGAATCTGCTTGACAGCTAGAGCAAGCACATAATGGCTTGAGGTATAATCCTGCATACAAATAGAGAAAAAACATTTAAGTCAGAACCAGATTAAGGTACTTAACATGATTGAACCAAGAAGTTGTGAAAAATGCTTCAAACCTTAAAATTGACAAAGTCGCAGATTGGGGGATCAAATGATAGTGTTAAGTGATCTGCTACTTCATGTCTCAGACTATTCGACAGCATATCTGATTTCATGTTTTTATATGTTACAGAGTAAGATACCATTGTGCTAACTAATTGAGCAAGGTCATTTTTCTCTTTATCAGACAGTAATTGTAACGCAACCTGAACCAAAAAAAAAAAAAATGAAGCAGTCATCAGAATCTCAGGTATCAATCTAAAGGAGACTAATGACAAGCACATTCGAAGAATAGGTGAAGCCCGTGAGAACTCTGAAAACTCTGCCCAACTACAAATCACACCCCTCACGGGCTACAAGTCTTTACACAAGTGCCATGAGTATAAAAGTCCAAGCCCCAGTTGATACTCAATAATCCTTATCCCAATAAAAAAGAAATATATAAGAGCAAATGACAAAATTAAATGCAAATAACAACTAATGATAAAAGATAACTATCAAATTAAAATTAAAACCAAATAGTTCCCAATAATGCTAAATATCCAAAATATCTAAAAATCCTAACTAATCACTCTTTCATATCCATCATTTCTCCTCTGTTTGAAGAATTTGGCTCCTGATGAGTTAAATTCTTTGAACCAAACTTATCAGGTCTTTTCTTCGGCAAGAAAGAATTCCATGTATACACAGTAAAAGTTATCATTCAAAAGAATAAAGTAAAATACACAAGAATCAAATGCGCAAGCATACTATACCTGCCTTTTATTGCTCTTTAGTGATTGTAAAGGAGGAATTAGGAAAAGGGAATAAACAAAATAACAAGAAAAAATATTAGCACTGGAATAAGTGAATCACCGGTTTTTATAGTCGGAGGGGACAGAATATGTAATAATGGAGAAATTAAGTCTTCTACAAACGTACTAGCTGAAAAGTGCCTAGCAATATATGGCGGAATTTGTAGTGCCAAGTATTCAAAATATCCATTTTTTCCGCCATCATTGCTCGATACCTGAACATCCATATACAACACTGTAGTAAGGCAATACAATTTCCAAAATTAATATTAAGTTCTACTAGCACAAGATATACCTTTGATAGGACCTTGGCCATTCAATGTTCGGCTTCTGAATTTGAGCTACCAGTCGATGTACAGTAATTGCTACAGGTGGCAAATAAACTGAAGAAAAGAAAGAGAGAATGAAGAGTGTGACTTCATTTTTGCAATAACTAAACAAGGGTGAAGTAGTCTTTTACCCTGAAGCGGCATTTGTTGTGTACGCATGATATATTGATGCAGTAGATCAGAAATTCCAAGACTATTCAAGCACTTGACCTTCAACCAGATAGCGTTCAAAGTCAAGCATCCCACAGAATATATAGAATCACTGTAATGCTCAATGGATAAATGCTTACAGTCTTCTGCATCACTGGGTCATGATAATTAAGATGTAAAATGTTTTCATGAATTCCATCAAGAATCAAATCGTAATCACCACTGCACATTAATCGACAATACTAATGAGCATATAATTACTTTGAACAAAAAAGGATACATGATTTACACAATAATTTATTTATGACCTACCGGCTTGATACAAGGGAGTACAAGGAGTTGACTTCAAAAAGCATGCTATTGTGAGATTTTCTTTCTGTCTTGGTTTTTTTTTTTTCCTTTGAAAAACCTGAGGAGAAAAAAACGTCCAAGGAAAACGATGTTGAAATTCAATACTCTGAGACTCTTAATAGCAGGGAAGGGATAACTCCAACAGGCTCTAGCAAATCACCTCCTTCCAAATGTCCAGAACATTCTTTGACATGTCTTTCCGGCCAACCACTTGAGAACCAATATCAAACTGAGACATTAAAGCATGTGATTGTTGAGAAAGTGCTATATAGATAAAAAGTTTTGCTAAAAGATAAAAGACAGTTCTTTTGCGCTATTAAAAGTTACTCTACAATTCTAAGAATTAGGGCACAAAACCCTTGAAAACCCACTGATAGCATCCTTCATGACCTTAACTTCAATGAAAATATTATCGCAGCTAAAAACGTTTTCTTTACAATCAACTAAAGAAGCCAACATTTGACCTGTTTTAGACGTATACTCCATCTAACTTGTTAGATAATCCGCTAAGTTTTTCAAAAACAGACATCACTGAATACTAGGATCAGAATAGACATTCTTTCTCTCTATTGTAGTAGTTTTAAGGCAGAAGTTTTGAGGTAAAAAATGGAAACAGATATTTGTGATTAACTAGCATCATCCTATAGCAGACAAAAGTCACTCATAAATACACAAATGAAAATTATAATCATTGCAAAATGCTACCGCAACTGCATGTTAGGGTTGATCCGTTGCTTAGAACAAGGATATTTCCATGCAACATAATCATCCTATATCTATGAACAAATCCTAGAATTTTCTTCTGAATTGCTTGTTCAGATGGAAGTCTTACCACATTGAGGGCTTCTTTCTTCTTGCTGAGAAATTGGAGGGTATTTAAGCATGAGCGTATATCACATTCTGTAAAAGAAAACCAAGAGAAAAAGTGAAGAGCCAGATAATTATAAGGATAGCTTGTAGAATATGAGTCGCAAAAGTCATGATAACACCTACAGTCATCACCGAACAAAAGAATTAGCATGGGTTGTCTGTGCTTCATGTGAGAATGATTTTAACAAAACAATATTAACTAAATTAACTTTTTCATTCAATTTGCAAACCTCAAAAAAGGGATGAAAGAAATAAGAAACCGACCTGTATATTCTGCTAGGGCAGTAAGTGCGATGGCATTAGCTTTCATCCCCTCCTTGTTACATATATTTTAAGCCTGCAGCCATTAGTAATTAAATAAAGAAACTATATGATAAGCAGAAAAAATGCATAGAGAAAAAAGCTTATTAGATGTCTCGCTAGGCACAAAACATGGAAATTAGAACCCATAACCATTTAACCACCTTGGTTTAGCTTTATTACGATCCAACTATACCCAAACATTTGAGATAATGAATATGAAGGTTGAGTCATTGGGTAAACTTCTGCAGTATAGATTTTTGTGGGTAACAAAATCACACAAGATAACCATTATCCACTCATCATCACCTGATTCTTTATGATTGTGAAATAAAGGGTTAATACAAACTTTGATCCTTCAAGTTTGTGATCTTTCAAATTTTAAACCACAAATTTTGGTCCCTTAAGTTTCTTTTCATTTGAAACATTGGTCCCTATAATCTAATAAAAACTTGGACCTTTTACCTCTAAAGAGACCAAAACCTATGATTTGAAATTTGAAGGACCAAAACCAAAACGAAGGCAAACTTAAAAGACCAAAGATTATATTAACCCGTGAAATAAACTAATATAACCTAACAAAATCCGAAATGTATTGATAAAAAAAATTATAACATCTATAATAGCTTCATGAAACCTATGTGGGTGAGGTGAGTTCAAATAGAGTTGGTTTTATCAATACAAACAAATTCAAAATGAATATTAGAAAAATGGTGAAATGATCCAAAGGCATCAAAAAGTTTCACTATATGATTTAATATATAATTAAAAATATTAGGCACGTAATGTGGGTTAAAGGGTGGGTAGGGGCTAACACTAATAAATAGGTCATGGGCCATTGATAGCCTATCAAAAGTTTTAAGTGGATAAATGATTAGACAGTTCACAAGTGATCAAATCATTTGCCACCCATGCCTACAAGTAACGTTAAGAAACTACTGGAGCAGGAAGAGACAACATTCTTGTGACTGACCCAGTGTAATTAGAACCATAACCAAAATCAAGTGACTCAACTACTAGTTCATACCATAAAATACAATAAACGATAGATTTCGAATAGTAAAACTACACCAGAAACCTTTTTTTTTTTGGGGGGGGGGGTGGATATTAACAGTTAATCATCACCTGCTTACCACGCGACTAACTGTTGGTTGAACAAAAATGTGAACCCTGTAAATAACATTTTTTCCCCCCAAAATAAACGCAAAGCATTAAATACAACGGAAAACATAGCTGGCATAGAAAATAAGCTATTAGCATGAAACCGGAAGCCAATTCATGAAAAACATTCTGGTGGGAAAAACTTAGTCTAGGTTAAAAAAAAAAGTGAATTATACAAAACTGAACTGAGTGCTCAAGACTTACTTTGCTACCTGACGCAATGGTCTCAAGGCAGGGGCATATAGGTCATTGCAAATGCAAATTACCTGTATTAACCGTCCATGTTAGTAATGCAAATCATTATTATCTAGTGATGACGTAAGAGAATATGAGCATATAAATCTCACCGGTCTTGAAAGTGATGCTTTCTTATGTCCCTTCTTCGAGGATCTCCTTCCTGTTTGCTCTTTCACACCAATTTTCCTTTCCCGCATCAGGCTTCTTTTCAACAGAAACCTGCATGGCATAGAATACTTAAGCTACATGAATTCCCACAATAAACATTTTCAACAACAGTCCATTCTAGTCTAGTACGTTTTGCAGAGACAAGGTGCATAAAGTTTGGCATTTTGCGCAATTAATTATAAGAAGAAATTTCGTAGGACAACAGAAGAAATAGGAATTAGTGGGAAGCCAAGAGATCCACTAAAAAAATGACACAGGGAAAGGTGTTAAAAGTTTAACGAAAATGTGTAATCTTTTCAGCTTCACATATGAGAAACGGAGAGCCAAAGAGAAGATAGGTGCAATCCTAAAGATAACAAAGCAGGGACAAAGATAAGCCCTTGAAGATGCAGGCACTTGGCTCCAAAAAGATATACCAGACTCGCAAAAACAACTGAAGCTTTATCATATGTATATTCCAGATTTACTACCAGAGGAGTGATCTGACTTGTACAAGCTGTAAACTCCTTGTAAACATAGTTGTGTAAGTCAACATTATCACTAAAACATTCTGAATTTCAAGTTGTCTTTTTCTATTTTTGATAGAAGAATTTCAAGTTCTCTTCAATTTAATCAAGTTTTGCAAGAGTAACAAATATGTAATCATAACAAATATGAATCCTGATCATGACAAACGTGAATTTACCTGTAGAACCACATGAGGATGCATAAAACCTTATCAGGCATTCCTTCTCAACCTTATCTTCTGATTTTGCATTATATTTGTAACGATGAGGTATGAATGCAACCAGTGAATGTATGAATCAATAGTTACATGACATGACCACAAGATTAAACAAGCTTGATTAAAATACGAATTTTAAACATTCAAGAAGCCACCAAAAAAAAATGCTCAGCATGACTACATCAAAGTCTGATTAGACAAGTCTTATTGAGGGATATCAGTGATGGAAACAATCTACAAATTACCATCTTTAAAAGAACCTCCACAGCACCCTTTCCATCTGAAAGTGCCCCATCATTTCATCCATCATCCACCACCTGAAAAGAAATCATGAAGTCAGTATTTTTTCACCTCATGCAATGCTGCTTGCTGCAAATCAAATATGCTGGAAGTCATAGCCATACCAGGCATTTTGGTCTTGAATCAGACATGACAGAGTTCATCTGAACCACATCAAGGATCTTTGATTCAATTGTTGATGTACTACGATCATCGCTAGCATTAACCTGCACAATGGAAAGCTCTTGTTTTGTGTACTAAAGTCTTAAGAATAAGATAAGAGAGATAAAGATAGATGGTAAATAGTAAAAAAGATTAAAAAACAGAAAAAATAATGATATGAAAACCGTACTGATTTAAAATTTAGTTCGTTTTGTTAAAAAACTCACAAAACATATCATACATATTTTAATTAAAAATGACAAATATAACATAAAAAAAGAATTCACATATACATAATTATATTAAATTATTAAAAAAAATTGTTTTTGATAATTTTCAAATTCAATCTGTTAAAGCAACAGCAGCCAGTTCATTCATTTCTTGACTAGATGTATCTAATACTGTGATATGAAAGGACAATACTGGCAAAAGGATTAGCTCCCAGGTCAACTGATCAAACAAGCTGATCTGATCTAGTTTCAAGAACCATGGTGATAACAACCACTGAACAGCAGTAAGATATAATCCAGTTATAAAAGTTGTTTGAGAACAAAAGAACCACCAAGCAATTTTACATGATTATGTCAAAGACCTTAAAACCAATTGTCACAGTAATTATGGAATATTATAATTTCAAACAAGTTGTAAAATAATTAAGTATAACCAATCAAATGATACTAAAGCATAAGACACCAGCAATCATATGAATTTGGATACAAAGCAGATCAGGGAAAAAACAGCTATGCAACTTGAAAACTCATGATTTTGCATGTTCATAACATTATAGATCCATACCTCCACCACATGATATCCACAATGTCTGGCAGCTACATGTGCAAGTGTAGTTTTTTCCAAGACCCGGAGGACCGCAAAGCAAAAGGATCTGGAGTTATTATAAATGTGAAACTTTAGTAACCAATGTCTTTCAACAATCATTACTTAACCCAACATCATAAATAACAAATGTAAATTAACCAATAAAACTTCTGCATAAAAAGAAATAGAAGCATACAAATGGAACATATGGAGTAACTAAAAAATCATACTTAAAGCTCAGAATAAGGAACTAGAGGGGGACGTTTAAAGTCATCAAGACCTTACAACCTCAACAAATGATAACCAGTATTACCTTCTGCTCTGGTGGGCCAGTATGCTTTGCTTTCCTATTCAACATATCCTGAACACTCTTTGAATTACCACTTTCTTCCATACTTCTAGAATTTTTTATATCCTTGTTACTCCATTTTGGGCCTCCACCCATTCTTTGAAATTTGAATCTAAAGGTTTCTGATTTGGACAACAGTAGAATGTCGTTTCAAAGCAGACAAAACTTCATCTGATGTACTGCAAATCTCAGATCCAAATACACTAGAATCCCACTGCTTCAACCACAGAAGTACCTGTCCTAGGACAACAATCAAACCAATTAGGGTCAACAAGCACCAAGGAAACAAAAGAAAATAATTTTTAACCAGAACATTTGCAATTAACAGCGTTCGAAATGCAAATGCTAATTATGTACCTCACGATTTGTATGTTCATCACTAAGAGCTCAGTGAATGAATTTGGTGTATATTTATCTACCCAAAGTTGCTCATGGACAATTGGTGTTTCAGGAACATCCGGAACATTTTGACATTCAGAACTAGCCTTCAATGTCTTCAGCAACATGAGAATTAGCATTAGATATATCATAAGTTATGTTTAATGAGAAACTTCAGAAGTTATTAGAGTAAAAAACCAAATTTATAGGGGCTTCAAGCTAAGAACAGACAATTTCAGAATGCAAACCTTAGTGAAAGCCTCCTGATCCAATTTCTCAAATAGAATACCAATGGGTTCTAATATAAGACCTACAAGCAGCAAAAATCCAAGTTATCAACTGCATCAAATTAGAAACTTTGAAAATCCTGAACACCTTTTGGTATGCATATGGTTTTCCTGTCTAAACATAAGCATGACATTAAATGAAGTCTACATTTATGGGTCCCTTATCTAAAATTGCAGTCTGTGCGGTCAATGCATTCACAGTCAGATCTCTAAATAAAAAACAAATATGAATTTTGGAAAAAAAAAATCAACTTAAGTTGCTAGAGTATAAAGGCAATATGAGGAAATATGTGATTCATGAGAAGCAAGAAGACAATGGCAGAGAACCAGACTAATTTTGCTTCTTTAAGATGCAACGTATTACTATCCCCCCAAAAAAATGTTATCAACCTGGAAGCATCTAAAACTCTTCTGATATTCAATTGAACCAAATGTATTACTAGAGAATTTCAATGTTACGAAATTTGTAACTGAAGGCCATAGTAAAAAATGTGAACCAGGGACTACACAACAAAAACAAAAACAAATGTTCACTCGCGTTCAGATTCAAGGTTTGACTACTCATGTCATGTGCATAGTTCATGTGTTTGATAGACCGTGTCTTCTATTGATTTTCAAAATAATCTATCCATGATCATTATCACAGAGAATCAAAACAGAATATCAATCAAATCCAGGCCAACTCTCTGTTTTTGTTTTTCACACACAACAGATGCTTTATAATAACCAAGAGGTCGCATGCCTATGACCTTAGATGTCTTGGAGAAGGCATAGCACATATCATATGATACTTTCAC